AGAGCCTGGGAAAGCCAGCCCCCCTTGCATCTAGGGATGGCCACGTGGCCCAGTTCTGGCCCAGGAAACGTAAGGGGAAGGTTGCCGGAGAGTTTCTGGAAAGGATTTTCTCCAAGTCACAAAACGAAAGAGGCGTACAGGACGAAGGCCCTGCCCTCCGCCCCCTTTCCTGGTTGCCTGCCTTAGGGCACAGAAGCTTAAGATGTGCCGTTTGGCCCTGTGGCAGCCATCTCGTGGCCACGTGATCAAGATCAAGGCGCACATCAGCAGGGCTGCATTGTTCTCTGGAGGCTCTGGGGAACCAAGCCATTTCCCTGCCCTTTTTAGCCTCTAGAGGGCGCGCTCATTCCTTGGCTCCTGGCCCCCTCATCTTCAACGCGGGCAGTAACAGCTTTGGCCGTCTGTGTGTTCTCTCTCTGGTTCTCTGCCGCTGGGAAAGGTTTTCCACTTTTAAGGACTCATGGGATTAGATTGGGCTCACCTAGATAATCCAGAATAATCTTCCCATATCAAAGTCCTTGGCCTTACTCACGGGTGCAGTCCCTTTTTGCCATTTACCGTAAATATTCACAGGGTCCGGGGTTTAGGATGCAGACATCTTTCAGGGGCCATTATTCCACCTACCACGGAAGGATAAGACTCTGAGTCCTTGATGACCTTGAGGAGGAAAGCTGTCCTGCTGTCAATCATGTCTGGACTCCTTTTTAAGTAGACCACCAATATTATCATAGATAAAGTTGCTGTTAGTCTTTCTGTTATTTGAAGCCCATGGCATTCCTGATACAGGAGACACTTGCATGACCAACAGTAGCCAAAAGGGGAACAAGGTACAGCTTTATCAATCCCAGCCCACCGGCTTTCCCACCCCACCCCAGTGTAGAGCTCTGGAGAAGCAAGATTGGAAAGTGAACTGCTGGGGCGTGTGCTGCGGCTCTGAGTCTGTCCCCCGACCTTCCGCACAGAGGAGGGGCCGGCCTGTCCGCCGCACGGCCTCGGACTGAACTGGAAGAGGCGTGTGACCGGGCAAGAAAGGTCGCTGCTGACTGTTCCCAGCTTCCCCTCTTGCTGTTCAGTTCCTCCTCCCTCTCTTCCCCCTCAGGAGTCTGGCTTTTCCAGCCTCACTAGCCCGGTTCTCTGGCACTTCGACATACAGTCGGGGATGCAGGCGGAAGGGTGAGAGTTGACGAGAGAAGCAGCGGCCTGCTGTGGTGTGGGGAAAGGGGGGGACGAGAAAAGGGGCCCTCAGTATTCCTAGTCTGCTATCCCCTCCAGAGAGTCAAGACACGCGACTAGATACTTGGAGATGACTTTTGATAGCTCGACTGGGTTTCTAAGTTCAGAGGCTAGCAGCTGTGGAGCTGGGCACCTTGGTGCTGGCCTTGCTGAGAGGTGCCGTTTCAGCAGCAGACTAGAGAGGAGGGGAAAAGTCCCTTTTTTGGGAGATTGCAGTGTTTGGAAAACAGGTTATGCCCCTCCCCGACCTCCCACGAGGGGAGGGAAATTAGACTTATTCCTTCGGCTAAAACCTGTATGTGGGGATCTTTCAGAGAAACGCTCATAAAATTTGTATGGGAGCTATTGACACATCTGCTTGGAGTTGAGTCCTTGGCTGGTGGGACCTGCAGGGCATCTGCCTTCCAGTCTACAAGGGTTAACAGTGACCAGACGAAAGGGGACAGTAAGCTCATCATGACCCTCAGGAGGCTGTGCATATGTGGGATGTCTTCCCCTCCTCCTCACCTCTGCCACTGTCCACAGAGCTAGTGCAGGAAGGGGGGGTAGTGAGAGCACTGAGCACACCTCCCCTCACCCTCCCAAGCCGAGAGCAGCACAGCTAGTGGGCACTGGGGGTGGGGGGACCTTTGAATCAAATGTCTGAAACTTTAACAAGATCCAATTGTTTTAATAACGCAAAGTGTCTTAAAAGTTATAGGATTGCACTTAGAGTTTGATAAGAGTCCACTTCCAGTGGGGAACTGCATTCAACAGAACACGGTTGGGACACTTACTGGAAAAATAGAACCACTGTGTATTTGTATCTCAACAAGTTGATACTCCTTCATTAAACAGGTTACTTAAGCATTCTAAGAGGCTGAAAACTAAGTGTGCCCACTGTACTGGGGGAAGGGGCAGGTTGGGAGCCAAGAAAGCAGAGGGGGAGCGTGGTCCCCACCTTTCAGGCAAGGTCATAGGGTCCACTAATAACTCCTGGCCTGGGGAATTCTCAGGCTCTGCCCAATAGGAAGACCTGCTCACCTGTACCATTACCTGGTGACGGGGAAGGGGTGGAGCATTCCTCTCCAATGCTTTTAGCCCTCCTAGCTTGGCCCCTAGTGATTGCTGCATTCTTTTCTAAACAGTCACACAAGCTTTAATGCACTCTTGATTTTGTCAAGTATTCTTGTTTCTGAAAGCCAAGTTTGGAAAATTCACTCTCTATCTAACCAGATGATCATAGAACCCCCCCACCCCTCCCCTTGGACAACACACAAGGAGCATCTTGATTACATGTACACGAAGCCTAGGTGGCTACAAGCTTTATTCCGGCCATGAACTCCCTTTGCAAACCTGATAAAAAACATTACTAGCCCCCTAGAAAACTGTACATACATACAATTTTGCATTTAAGGATTTATGGCCTTATAATGCTTTTGACTCCTAGTGACCAAAATATTGTTCTTCAAAAATTACACAGAATTATTTAGATGGAATAGTTTTATTTAGCAAACAGAAAACTTGCTAATTCAGATTATCTTCTATTCCATATACTCTAGACTACAATTTGCAAGTCACAAGTGCAAAAGAGTTGCTTAGGGTCTTCACGCTGAACAAAGGGACAAAATTCAGAGGGAGAACCACAGTAGCCAATTGAAAAGGAAATACTAGCAAGTGAGCCAGAATAAAAGATTTTATTGTATTCCATACATTCACAGGTCACTTCCAGATTTAGTAACAACGCTGCAAGGCTCTGACGCTGGGCCCTCGTTTAGCTTAGACCACGTTGTAAGTCTGTGGCTCTCCTCTCCCTCCTAGAAATGTGCCACAATACCGTTCAGTGCAGCCTGGCATCCAGTAGCTGCTTGACTATCTTCTAGCTGTGGCCTCGGTCTACCCCCATTTTCTCAAAATTTTAAAGTCCTTTCCATTCCATTACAAAAGAGATCGCCAAACACTAGCGTAGGGCTCCTTCACTCAGTGTTTTTATCTTAGCATGACTACTATCCCTTACTTACACTTCCTTAGTTTGAGGACCCTCAACTAGCAAACTTCTGTACAGACCAGCTAAACACGGCGTGGTCCCGAAACCATAGCTTTTGCTTCTTTGGCCAGAATGCACCCCTCGCCTTCAGCACTTGCCCAGATCTGTAGGTACAGGTTTCTCCCGCTATCCGAATGTAGAGCGTTCCTATGAAACCTTTCGTAAGCCGCAATGGCATAAAGCGAAGCAGCCATTACCATTAATTTATATGTGAAAGTTTTTCGAGCATTCCCAGATCCAGAAAATAACCTACAAAATAAATCCAGATAAAGCACAGATGCTCACACAGTCAAAGCTATGGGGGCTCGAGGCGGAGATGCTAAGTGTAGTTCCCGGGGAAGGAGCTTGGCGGCGCCACTTGCCGCCTGGGTGCGCGCTGCCTGCCTCTATCACGGCTCGCTGCGAAACAAATGCTGAACGCTATTTTCACTTTTAAAAGCAAAAATCCTCTGGATTTCTTTTGGTTAGTGAAAACAGGTCCTAACGTAGGTCTTTTGTAAAAGCGAAGTGGTGTAAAGCGAACTTTCGGACAGCGGACGAAACCTGTACTTGGTTTTCACAGGGCGTGCCTGACTGACACAAACCCATCTGCCACACGGTCAAAGCTCTTCCAAACCTGGGCGTGACCTGTGGGGAGCAGGGTCGCAGTTTATTGCATGTGGCCTGCGTCAGCCTCAGGAGATTCAGCAGATGAGTGATCCCCGGGCTCCACTGCCTCTGGGCGTGGGGCGCTTGATCCACATGTTCGTGCTCTGCCTTCCGGCTAGGCGCTCCCCTGGTTCTCTGAATCTGAGAGGCTGGCACGCATTGACCTCCCTCACTTCAGATACTGCTCCCGTCTCCACGAATCCACTTTGAGACGTTCACCAGCCCTGTACTGAAATCATTAAAGTGCAACACTGTGTTTCACTCTTTCAGGCACTGAAAAGCTAGAAGCTTTAAATTTTTGTTTTCTATAATGAAATATTTTCTTTACTCTCAGTATTTGTAATATGCCTGCAGTCAGAAGCAGCAAACACAAAACAAAAAACAGGGCAGAAGGCACAGAGAGAGGAGCAGGTGTGAAAAGAATTTTACCATTTACTCTTATAGGAACACCAAACCAAGCCCATTTTGTTTACAAATCGGCCTCCTCTGCTCCACACAGTCAGTCCTTGAAAGCAGAAACCCGATTTATTAACCCTATAGTCCAAGTAAGCAGGCCTGTATAGAACCAGAGAGCTGTCATGTTACATCAGAAAATCCAAGTGACCCAAAAGACAATTCACCGCAAATGCTTCAAGTTTCCCTCTGAGACCACCACCAATTCCACTACTGCAAACTCAGAACAGCACTTCAAATTCAGCAGAATGCTACAGAGTTTACATGGAATAAAAATTAGCCAGAAAAATACCTTAGAAAAGATTTTTTCCTTATGGATTCCAAGAGACTTTTAAGATATTATGGAATTCTCAATCATTATATTCAGATTGCAGAGCCAACATCTGCTAATACTATTTTCTAATTATCTTTCTTAAAAGGAAAAAAGGGTAAAAATCTGATTGTGAAATATTGACAGGATCCTCCAAAGTTAAATATTAACATCTCTTCATCTCTCCTATGAGAACTTTACTGTAAACATACCTTATCATAGAAATAATTATTTAATACACATTACAAACTGTTATATTTAAAGAAAACAAATCTATTCTTAACCCAGATACTTCATCCACAAAAGTTTAATGACTAAAATAACACAACAGAATGAACAAATGTTTTATTGGCATGTTCATTGTTGTAAACAGCATCTGGCATGAAAAAGTTTTACCAAAACCTTATTGATTTTTATAAATTAGATGGCATTTTCAAAATTTACGTAGAATTGTGTTCACTGAATAGTTGTATTTAGCAAAGCAAAAAAACTTGCCGATTCTGATCGACTTTGCAATGAAATCATGTTGACTGCATCAGCCTGTGCCATGACCTGACTTACCACCAAGTTGATTCAACACGATGTGAAGACGTTTTCCCCAAGTTAAACTACGTGTAACTACAAATCAACTCCAAAAATTAAAGTGGGACTTAAAGGGGTCTAGAAGATTCAAACTTGAAGTAAATCTTCAAAAATAAATGTACAAAAAGAAAAAAAAATTGAAGCTGCTGAACAGAACCACCTCATTAACAAGGGCAAATACAATCGTATGGGACCCAGCACTGAGGAGCCTCACTGAGGATTACATTTACATAGACTGCTCTACTTCTCAATGGACACAAGTGTCGATCATGAATGATATGTGAAAAGAACAGCCATGGGAAATAGCTAAACTGCAATTATGATAACTCAATAGGATCAATTTTATTTACATGCTGAATGAACGAGTGAAATGTATTCTCCACATCCATAACTTAAGTACAATCAGTTATAATTACAATATTGCAGCAATGTGAGCTACCACCTGCTGGGTGCCTTCTAAGGGAAACGTTTTGATGTTCCAGAATGTTCTTAATACTTCACAAAAAATGAAACAAAACACAACTTCACAATTCTTTACTGGGTTACGGCTGGTTCTAAGAACTCTTTCTTCAGCTCCTATTTTGCTGCTTTCCAGAGTCAACACACGTTGCATTTACTTCCAAATTGTCAATGAGGTAATGTGTGTATCAGTGAAATAAACAGAAAATTCATTCATTCATGGCCTTTGCACAGCTTTTATTATTAAGCTATGAGCATCCTGTTTGAGGCTAGTTTGACTAGCGGCTATGTGCACATTTGTCCTCAATAAAAGAAGTTTACTCATTCCCCTTCCCCCTTTTCTAGTAGCAGGTTTTGCTTTTTGTTTTTTGTTTTTATTTTTTTGCACATCCCTTTTCACTTTACAGTACATTTGACTATAGTGCACAACATGATTCCAAGTTACAACAGTGGCCCATCGGGCACTGAGCTCTTCTGATTGGTGAAGGGCAGTCCAATCAGTGCTGGTGTCACTGGGTTACCCCAACCACGTCCGGCCGTCATGGCACTACACAGTAGCAGTGAACCGTCTAATTAAAACCAAAATCCCTCAGGGAAAATGCTCCATTAGCAGTCAGTCTTGAGCCAGATCTTTATTTGGTGCTCCATCCAGATATATTTTGAGTGCTTTCTCTTTCCGAGGTGAGTACGTTACACGATGTCCTGTCTTCTGCAGTCGACTGCTTTCTTTTTTCATCAGTTCATTTCTTTGCTCATCTGTCAACTCCATTAATTCTTCTGTTTTATCCCTACATTTAAGACATTAATGACATATTAGACCAGTATAGCCATCTGCCTCTATTCATTTATGCTTCAGTGCTATAATGCTCCTCGGTGAGAAAATGAAATCTGATTGTCACCAGTGAAGTTAAATAATCCCATATACCAAGATGTCCTCGATTTCTAATGTGTTTATTATATTAACATAGCACTCACTTCTGAAAATGGCATGGAATAATTTCCATGTTATCATTAGTATAAGGATAGCTGTCATTTATTGACCATCTATATGTAACAGGCACCATGCCAGTATTTTAAATGCAATAGCACTAATTCTCATAAAATCCTGGAAGGTTGACATCACTGTCGCCATTTTACAGATGAGGAGCTAGGTAAATAACAAAGCTAAATCTGACCCCTTTGTCTGCCAGGCTCCAAAGAATATTCTTTTTCCTCTGGATCTGTGTTGTCCAATACAGTAGCCACTAGCCACAGGTGCCTACTAAACACTTGAGATGTGCCTGATCCAAATTGAGACGTGCTGGAAGTGTAACAGACAGACAATATTTCTAAGACTTGCTACCAGAACAAGAAAATAAAATATCTTATAAATGATTTTTTATACTGATCACATGTTGTAATGTTAACATTTTGGATAAATTGGGTTAAAATATTTTATTAAAATTAATTTCACCTGTTTCTTTTTACTTTTTAAAATGTGACTACTAGAAAATTTCAAAATGTAACGTGTGGCTCTTGTATTGCTACTAGTCAGAGCTGCTCTATATCATAACAACAGTATAAAGGTATTTATGGAAAACAAGATATTTATGCATAACAAAAATGTTTTATATCAGTAGAAATAACAAAAACACTATGAATGTTACCTGTAAAATATGACTGCACCATCATCACAGATATAAAGAGGCCAGACATTCAGGGTAGAAACTTTAGGATTCCAGTCCAAATCTTGATGAATATCAAGGACAGAAATATCACAGGGAAAAGTTCCTCTACCCTAAGGAAAAAAAGAGTGAATGAATAAATCATGCCATTAGCCATGTTTATTGAGCACTAGGACCCAGATGCAAACATTCTCAGAGCTTTACCTTGACAAACTCAATATCTTCCAAAGGAATTCCACTGATTTCAGAAAGCTGTGAAAGGAAACATTTTATATGAGTTCATTTCAAAAATAAATTTGCTTAGAAAAGTTATATTCCTTTTATCCCAGAAACATAGAAATAGCTTGATTTTTTTTTCCAAAGAAGTTATATATTTGATATAAAAAATTAGAAACAAAAGCAGAATGCCATGTCCCATAAATATCAATTTTGTATATTCCTTCCAGACCTTTTCCTAAGCATATATAAACTACATACACACATTTCTAAAATACACAAAATTCTATTTATGAACTATCTCTATACAACAATTGTATACAGCCCACACATAACAGGATACAGAGTAACTCATTCTCCTCAATAGCTGAACAGTACACCCTTTTATTTCCTGCTGATGGACACTGAGCCTGTTTTTAATTTTTCCAGTTACAATGCTATACTGTATACCTTTATGAATATCTTTGCATATTTCTGCAAATATTTCTTCAGACTGAATTCTTAGATGTGGAATTGCATATCTGAAATGTTGATAAACAATGCCAAACTGAACTCTGAAAAAAATCATATCAATTTAACCACTTATCACAGGTGTGTGATATTGTCTGTTTTCCCCAAAATTTAATGATTCTAGGTATTTTTTGTGTGTGTGTGTGTGTGTGAGGAAGACTGGCTCTGAGCTAACACCCATTGTCAATCCTCATCTTTTGTTTTTTTTTTGAGGAAGATTGGCCCTGTGCTAACATCTGTTGCCAATCTCCCTATTTTGTTTTTTTCTTTTTTTCTCCCCAAAGCCCCAGTACATGGTTGTGTATCATAGTTGTAGAGTTGTAGCTCTTCTATGTGGGATGCCGCCTCAGCATGGCTTGATGAGTGGTGAGTAGGTCCATGCCTGGGATCTGAACCGGCAAACCCCAGGCCACCAAAGCGGTACTCACACACTTAACTGCTGTGCTACTGGGCTGGCCCCAATTCTAGGTATTTCTTGATCTTCTAAATCTTCACCAATTTAAGAGGTGAAAACGTTATTACTGTTTTAACTTGTATTTCTTGTTCTATGATTTGTCTATTCATGTTCTTTGCCTATTTTAAAATGAGATTGTTCATCTTTTTCTTGCTTCTTTTTTTTGTTTGTTTGTTTGTTTTTGTGAAGAAGATCAGCCCTGAGCTAACATCCATGCTAATCCTCCTCTTTTTGCTGAGGAAGACTGGCTCTGAGCTAACATCTATTGCCAATCCTGTTCTTTTTTTTCTTCCCCCTCCAAAGCCCCAGTAGATAGTTGCACGTCATAGTTGCACATCCTTCTAGTTGCTGTATGTGGGACGCGGCCTCAGCATGGCCGGAGAAGCGGTGCGTCAGTGCGCACCCGGGATCCGAACCCGAGCCGCCAGTAGCAGAGTGCGCACACTTAACCGCTAAGCCACAGGGCCGGCCCCTGTTCATCTTTTTCTTATTAATGTAGTAGCTCCTTATAAATTACAGACATCATGTTGCATATATTTTTTCCTGTTCTTGTTTTTTAGCTTTGTTTATAGAGTGTTAAAAAAAATTTTCTTTTGGGGGGGGGGGCGCTGTGCAGAAAATTTAAATTTTATGTGGTCTATCTTTTCTTTTTGAGCTTCTAGCATTACACTTAGAAATTTATTTACCTTTCTGGGATTATAAAAATATCTTCATCTAGTACATTTATCATTTAATTGTATTTTTTATATAAATTTAATACATTTAGAAACTATTTTTGTATTTGAGGTGAAGTACAGAAACAAATTTCTTTCTAAAATGCCAACTGTTCTAGTACTGTTTATGAATAATTCACCCTTTCCCCAGAGATCCTTAAAATTCCCACCTTTAAAATGGAATATGTAAAAGAGACCTTCTTTGGATTCTTTATTCAATTCTATATCATTTTTTTTTTCTTTTAAATATATACAGCAATTTACTCTAGTAACTTTGAACTAATCCTAACTACTTAGGACAAAGTTGATCCAAGTAACAGAAAGTGAGGGTCTACTTCTGGATGGACAGAAACCAATGTAATTTTTCAAAGCATCAAGAGCCTAAAGAAACAACGAGAGTGTGACACAAGGTGTCACAAGCTGTGACAGAGACAAAGAAAGAAAGGTTGCTGCATCAGTGTTTGGCACTTGCTTCCTAGGCTATCTCTTAGGCAACATAGAGAAAAATGTTTATCAGCTTATTTTGTTTAAAATGAATTTACCTTCTCTCGCAACTCATCAACACTACTGCTTTCCAACACAACCTCCTGGAAGGGATCCAACTTCATCTCTGAAGGCCTCCACCGTCTTGACAGAACTGCAAGCTGTGACATGGATTTCATCTTCTCTACCCCTATGAATATACAAGATTAGGCTATCATTCTATTTTCTCTAGAAGTTCATAATTTGACTTTTCCTGTATTGCCTGACTAAACAAAAAGATTTATTTCAAGTGTTATTCTTAAAAAGTGGGGATAAAAGAAACTCATTATCCCAAGGAATTTTTGAGAAGGAAATGTTTGCCCTCTTCTGCCCCATCTCAGAAGGTAATTCTTAACTCTTCTGCAAGCTCTCCTCCCATCAGGAGTCCTAGGTCCACTCTCTCCTGATTCCTGCTGGACACTGCTGTACCAACCACTCTCTGTGCTGGATCTCCAGGCTTTGCCTCTCTGTTGGCTTCTAGCCCTACAATTGAACCATAATCAATCACCTTCACTTGATCTTCTCTTTTCACTCAAGCTATCACTAATCCTTCTCTTTTCATTTGCTCCTAAACTTACTGATCCTTCAACACCTGCTCAGGTGTCGCCTTTCTCTCTGGTGTACACAAGAGCAACCTGCACTTACTGATTTGGGAATGTGCAGGTTTGCAGCTCTGGTTCTCTCAGACTGCGTGCATCTGGAGGGCAGTCACTGGTTCTTATTCATTCTTGTAGGACCAGGCATTAGCAGTGTGTGGCAAATTACAGGTCAATAAATGTTTCTTGGGTTTAATGACATGACTTATTTCTTAGTTAACTATTTTGATGCTAAAATATATATAGTCATGCATTACTTAACGACAGTGATATTTCTGAGAAATGCCTTGTTGGATGATTTTGCTATTGTGTGAACATGATAGAGTGTACTTACACAAACCTAGATGGTATAGCCTACTATAGACTTAGGCTATATGGCACTAATCTTATGGGACCACCATCACATACGCGGTCCATCATTGACCCAAACGTCGTTACATGGTGCATGACTGTACTGAAACGATACTGATGCAGGCACCCACCATTCAATAAAATTTTCTGGCTAATCCATTTCTGCTAATACATACTCAATCCTTCCTAACAAGGGTGACTTCTATATCCTTCATGATCTCTTCCTGGCTTACCCAGACAGTAATTCTTCTCTAAGGCCCCAGATAGTCAGAGAAGGAATTACAATCTGGAGCACTTGCCTACACACCATGGTAGACATGTCCTGGTTGTTCCTTGTCTCTCCAGTTAACTTATCAATTAATCAGAATTTCAACCACTGAAATTTAAACCAAATTAGACCTGAAACAGCCTAAAATAGGTGAGGTGTTGGTATTATTGAACTTTCTGAAAAACTATCATAATCTTACATAAAAACATCCAGAACTTAGGACATTTTATTCTGTGGAAAAAGAAAAGGAAAACCAAAATCTTTCTACACAATAGTGAAGTCACAAAGGAATACAGAACTAGTTGTTTCCCTTGATAGGATCTCCCAAAAGCCAACTTTTCCCCGACTACTGCCTCCATAAAACAATATTTGATCATTAAAACCAGAGGTATGACAAACACAAGTGCTCTTCTAGGTCACTGTCATGGCTTGAGTTGTGTCCCCCCAAAACGACATGTTGAAGTCCTAACCCCCAGTACCTCTGAATGTGACTTTATTTGGAAATAGGGTCTTTACAGTGGTAATCAGGTCAAAATGAGGTCATTAGGGTGGGCCCTAATCCAATATGACTAGGGTCCTTATAATATTGGGAAATTTGGACACAGACAGACAAGCCCATAGAGAGAACACCATGCAAAGATGAAGGCAGAGATCAGGATGATGCATCTACAAGCCAAGGAATACCAAAGACTGCTTACCACCCACCAGAAGCGAGGAGAGAGCATGGAACAAATTCTCCCCGACAGCCCTCAGAAGGAACCAACCCTGCCAACCCCTTGATCTTAGACCTCTAGCCTCCAAAACTGTGAGGCAATAAATTTCTGTTGTTTAAGCCATCCAGTTTGTGGTACTTTGTTATGGCAGCCTAGGAGACTAATATAGTCATTGTTCTCAAAAGCTCTGATAAGTTATCAATACCACATCCTCAAAACAAAATAAGCCATAATGAAAAAAGAAACTAAAGAACAAACAGTTGAGAAAACATTAGCAGAATTTTCCACAAAAAGTACTAAAAATACAACTTGAAATTGCAAATTCCCTGTAAGGAGGAATTAATATTCTCAAAACTAGAGAAAAGAAGAAATATTTAAAAGGCAAATGGGACCCAGAGAAAAGATAGAAAAAACTCATGATTTGATTAAAAACTATAGGCTTCTATTAGTTTTAGAGCATTTCTAACTGATATTTCCCCACAAAAATATTGATAATACCATCAAGAACTTCAAGGAAAACCTCCCAGTTGCTGGAAATATTAATATCTTCTTCATAAATATGATAATCCAAAAAGACAGTGCCAGGATTCTTCCATGTTTTTTTCCTTAGACGAAACCTACAAATGTGATAAGACATTTTAAACTACCATAATTTGCAATTCTTAACTTTAAAAAAATTACATGAATCTGACATCAAGGAAAAATGAACTATATTCAAATACAAAAGTCAAATGGTTATTCATTAAAATTTGGAGAAAACATAATGAAATGCTCCCAAGACTTCAAATTTAGTATCCTACAGAGTCTAATATTTTTGCTTAGTTCTATTAAATTATTCTGCAGTACTAAAATTCTGAATAGTACAGGGATTTTTAATTCTTCTAGTTTCAGAAAATCATACCAATCCACGTCAACTGCTCACACGGTCTTTCTTCAAATTGCTGACGGCACTGTAATTGTACTTTACCTGTCAATACTGAGCTCTAAACCACATTGCTCCCTGAGTTGAGGAATTAATTCCTCTTTTGATTGCCGTACAGTCATTCCTTTAGCAAACACAGCGTCGAGCAGAAACTTGCATGGCTAGGAATATAAACATAAACAATTAGAGCCTGAATTACACATTAAAATAAGGATAATAAGACATTTTATTTGCACTTTATAGTGTGACAATTAGGGGCCTGAGTTTAGGAGCCTGTCTTCTTCCTTGGTTCAAATCTTGGGCTCTGCTACTTACTAACTCTGCTATCTTGGGCAAGTTTACTTAATATTTCTGTGCCTCAATTTTCTCATCTGTAAAGTGGGGACAGTGTCTCCTCACAGAGTCATTGTGAAGCTTAAATAAAATAACATTCATTATTTTCCTTCTTATAATAAAATGATCACAATTTTGAAAGTAAAAAGAAGTATTTTTATGACTAAAATGAGGGAAATGCATACTAATTCTCCAAATACGTACATTGTCTCAAGAGACATAGTATCCACAAACCCCAAACTCAGAAGGAACATATAAGTCAAAATGACTGTAATGGATCACATATAAGAGAGGATGAGTGCTTGATAAAATATTTGTTGAGTGAATGAAGGCATTTTATGAACAATGTTTCTCCTTATTTGCTATTCGGTTTCCACATTTGTCTAGGTCCTCAATAAGATGTTATAAACATCCTGAAAATAGGGTCTCCGCCTTATTCTTCTGTATTTGCCACAGCCTTTTATATCACAGGAACTAAGACATTTTACTAATTATTCCCCCAAAACACATGGCCTGTTTAGATCTTTAATCCACCATTTACAAGTTGTATGACCTTGAGCAAGTTACTTAACTTCCCTGTGCCTCAGTTTCTCCATCTATAAAATGGGAATAATAAATAGTCCTTATCTCACAGTTAACTGATGAGTATTAAAGGAGTGAATATTTGCAGGCACTTGGAGCACATGGTGAACACTGGATAAATGCCTATGAAATACTACCGTGGCTCTCTGAACACGGAAAGTACATTCTCCAGGTCAGCGGCTATCCCCCTGCAGCATTATACGATCATTCCCAGAAAACAAGCACAGACAAATCCCCTTTTAAAAGCAGGAAATTACTGCCTCACTTCAGAATTTGTAGCAACACTTTAGAGCAGGGGGGGTACAAAAAATGGCCTGAGGGCCACAGGTGTCCACTGCCTGTTTGTGTAAATAAATTTTAGTGGGACATAGCCACTCCCACTGGTTTATGTATCGTCTATGTCTGCTTTTGTGCTGCAATGTGAGAACCGAGTAGTTGCAACAGAGGCAGCATGGCCTGCACAACTACAAGATTTCCCAGAAAAAGTATGCCGAGCCTGCTTTAGAGAGAGAAAAAGGAAAGACTAGTAATAAAATCTCTGCACTGTATGTTTTTAGTAACTACCAAGAGTGACCTTACAGTGCTCTTAAGTGTCTCACTTACCTCTTGTTCATTCACTAGAAGCTGGTACACTTTAACTCTGTATTCTCCTTTTTTAAGTGCTCTTCCCAGTCTAATTGTAATCTATAAATTAAAAACATTTTTTTTAGATGGCTGGTCTCAGCAGAATAAACAACCCATTCTCACCCCATTGTTTAGTTTGTTTTCCAAAATTCTCTAGATTATGGGCTCTCTGAGAACAAGCATATCTTTTACCTCTGATTCCCCAGCACCTAGAACAGTAACTGACACACAGTTAACATTTAACAAATGTTTGTTAGATGAATGAAGAAAAACAACAACAAAAAAAGCCAAATAACCACTAAACAACAAGGAAAAATGACCCTTCTAAGGGCATCTATTTCACCTTAATTGGAAGTAGTGCAAGATGTTCTCAAATCTATCATTTAAAACAGACTCTAATTATTCAAAATTATTTTAATCAACCTTATTGTCATCTGAAAATGATGAAAGTGTCTCATTCAGCCGGACGCTCTCAAACTCTTGATTGCTGGCATACACTCGAAAGACCTTGAAGTGAGAGGACAAAACTCCAACAAAGGGTTCTAAATGCTGTTTGAAAGCGGCCAGAGTAATTCTTTTATCAACATGCACCATCAACCCTAAGCACAAAAAAACCAAAACAAAACAGAAACAAAAATGTGTAAAAGAAACCTCTTAGAGCATAATAAAACAGATCATATATTCATTACACCGTAAGCAGGAAAAAGTACCCCTTTTCAGCCACTTGACTGTCAGCTAATATACAACATTGAATGGACAGAAAACATAGACACTGAGTATAGACTAGGTATAACCTGACAGCTGTAACTGTGTGGAGATAGTTCAGTGCTTCTTTCTTTCTTTCTTTCGACTGCTGAATTCAAAACCAAACTTGCAGGAATTCTTTTCAAATACATACATTTCCAGTTCTCCACAGTGATAGTGCGGGCTCCAGGGGGTTCCGACCCTGCCTCTTCTGCTTCCTGACTAGCTATGTGACATGGAGCAAGTCATCAGCCTCTATACCTCCATTTCTTGAGTCGAAAAATGGAGATAACAATAGTACCTACCTCATAGCACTGCAGTGTGAATTCAATGAGCTAATATGTTTATCATGCTTTTAGCTTAGTGCCAGATATATAATAATTGCCTTAACAACTGTTAGTAAATCCAGTTCTGGGATTTCTCCTAGAAAAAAATATGTCAAGACTAGCATGTGAAGATAGGTCTGTTTTATCGTGGTTGCACTGTAACAGGAACAGCATCTAAGTGGATCAGAAATTTCCACCTCCAAGCTTCAATTTAAGCTCATAATTATTGTAATAGGCATTATTACACTAATTGTAATATGTAATAGGCATTGTAATAGGATTATCTTTAATGAGCTTTTTTCTAATGCTTATTATTTTAATCTTTTGACCTCTATTTTATAAGCCACTCATGAGCATACTTCTGGAATATTTCTATTTACTCTGGTCTTCACATTCCAGCAAAGAGCAAAAACTTGACTCATTTCTTTCTCTTGTAGTAGGCAGTGCAGAATACACGAGCTGGTGTGCTGTCACAGGCCCGCGGTCCCTCTGGAGCCCCAAGGCTCTCTCTTGGGCAGGCCTTCATTTTCTGTGAAAGTTACATCAAACATCAAGGAAAAGACCCTAAAACCCTCGTGGTTTATGTTCTCAGGTCATCCCAACTTAGGCTGATGAATTTTTCTGAGTGGATTTTTTCAAATAAATTAATGATCATTTACTATTTTCCTGATTATAAGATACAGGTTCACCACAGAAAATGTGACAAGTACAAATTAGAAGAAAATATAAACAGGGTGATAAACTTTTTTATTATATATACCTCTTGAGGCAGCATTTCTTTTACTTTGTTTAAAATGTCCGTTTCTAGGCTTTAAGGAGTACCCCTCAATGTTAACAATCCAGCTTTTCGCAAACAAGTTTTTACTTATGTTATCTGGCAAGGTCCTAAATTTCTTGAGAGAAGGGTGTAATGAAAAAAAATTACTTGATTAGAAATCAGAAGCCTATGGCTGGATTTCAGTGTTGCCACTTTAGTCTGACAAATGGCTTTAAGGAGGTCATCTCATCTCTCTGAGCCTCAGCTGTCTCACGGGATCATTACACCAGTCTCACTAACGCGTTACTCAAATACAAGGTATTATTGCCATTTTTGGTTTCTCTCATAACTTGCATAATGTTGTGTCACAGGAAGACACAAATGTTTGTTGGTTATTGATATTGTTCAATATGGTGACTAGGACCAAGTGGTTCTGGAATTAGATGGCCTGGCCTGAATGAATTCCTAGCTGCTCCTTGTATATTCGATTTGTGACTCTGACTTCTTAACTTCTCTACACTTCAATTACCTCTATTATTAAATGGAGGTAACAGTATTTATACCTTATGATGTGTTTTTGGGTCAAGACTTATAAAATGCCTAACATAGCCCTGGCAAAAAGTGTTAGCTTAACTGATTGGCTGTAATTATTTTCTAGTTTTAGAGATTATCATCATATCATTTTTCCTATCCACCTCTTCAAACTGAAGAGTTCAGTCTCGTCACAGTGCAACCTCAAAGTATCTTTAAGGCTTTTCTTTTTCTTTCTTTTCTTTTATGTATTTCTTGGATGAGGTGGTAACCAAAATTGTACAAAGAAATTTCAGTGCAAATGCACTACCATTTTTATTACCTTGACCTTCCTGTTTATACCCAAGTGCCTGCAGACTACAACTCGGTCACACTGGAAGAGTATTTTCAAAGAAAAGTCTATAATTACTCCCTGAAACAATGCCTGGATTACAACAAATAGCTTAAAGACCATTATGTTAAGTGTTGTTTGGTTATTGCCTATACTGTGCATAGAATATCATTCTTCAGATATCAAATTCTGTGTTATATACTTTGCCATTTCAGCACTTTCAAGAGCCCGTATTATTATTCGTCATCCACATTTCCCGGGCACCTGCTTTCAGCTCACGAGGAACTGTGACAAACCAGTCTTAGCACAGACACCTGAAACCCCTGGCTGCTGGCTAGTGTCCCTACTCCTCTATCTCCAAGCCAGTTTTCTAAACATGAAAAAGCATTTCCCAGGGTTTTCACTTTTTCTTTTCAAACAAGCCTCCTGTAAGCCTAAATAAATTGTAGTAAATGGTTTCTCTTCATCACCATGTTTCCTATTTCAATGAATGCCCACTATAAATTTCCGAAAAGGTTAAAATGGCCAGTAGTCTCAAGATGTCACTAACCATTCTAAGATGGAAATGAGACTCTTCAGACTATAATTCTAAGCATTCCCACTGAATTCTTTTTAAGGTTGAGACTATCATGCAGTCAAGTTTTCAGCACATGATTCTAAAACCAACCACTTAAAAGAAATTTCTAACCTTTTCCTAAAGAGGAGCTACTTTTAATTTCTCCAGTGCACCTGAAGGATTGAGGATGGTGAGAAAGCAGAGTAGCTACTGGCTATTTTTCCTATACTGTGGTGTGAGGAAAGGAAGGAACACTGGTAGCAGTTATGGGTGGCGGAGTCCACAACAGGCTCACAGTCAAAATGCCTCAGTTTAATCACAGCAATGTGACCTCAGGCAAATTATTTAACCCATTTGAGCCAGTTTCTTCGTCAGTGAAAAGTGTCTGACAACATCAATTTCCACAGCTGTTGAGAACTAAATGTGATAAGGTAAGTTAATGAGCCTTATCAGCTAAAAACTCCAGAGAAATTTAAAGTATTATGATGATAAGAGTTTCCCTGTCTCCATTTTGGCCCACTAATCCACACTTCCCACTTGAGTTTCTGCAAGATCTATGTGTAGATGTCACATGGTTCCAGTGTTACTTGGACCTAGTTAGTTTGAACACAAATTTATGTATTTTTACTACTGATTTCATAATTTCTACCACTCCTTTTAAAAGACCAAATTTTGAGAGTACAAGCATCATAGCACTTAACTTTCATAGTGGTTATTTGTGGCCCCCCCCACCCCCCCACCCCAGCTGAAGCACAAGGCTGCATCCTGGTCATCTCTACTCATATCTACAGAGGCCCTGGCATCTAGCACAGATTCAGGAAATATTAATTGGGTGGGTGGACGAATGGATGGATGAAGAGTGGGACTCTCTTCCAAAGCTAACAGGAGCCAGTGCATCCAATTAGAAGCTTTAAATTCTAGTAATGGTTCCACTACTTTCTAGTTGTGTACTTTTGGGCAAGTCACTCATCCTCCATGAGCTTCAGTTTTCTTATCTGTCAAATGAGGATATCAATGTTTGCTTTATTAATTTCAGAGAAGCTTCCAGCAAAAACAAAAAAGTATTCTGAAAACTAAAATATACAAATACAAGGAGTAATATTAATATTTGCCTTGTTAAAGACTAATGCAAAGTATTTAGTTTTTCAGCTGTTTCCCTTTTATACTTGAAAAAAGATTTTTTATCTTGAACCTGGTTGTCCTGCTAATTCTTTGGCTGGTTTTAGTCTAACGTTTTATAAAAGTTGTTTTATAGTAATTTTAATGTTGGTGTGTTTTTGTTGTTACCTGACAGACCCTTTCCATCTTTTTGAGATTATTTAATTCAGAATTGCTAGTTTACACCTTGTCTGGAGCTTACTTAAAGTATCAACTTGAAAAAAAGTTCCTTTCCTTTCTCCGACTTTCCCACTTAGTTATGGACTTTTTAGGGGGTGTGGGAAGTTGTTGTTTGCATTGGGCAATAGAGGATGCACAAATAAAAATTTCCCTGGGCACTGAATATCAAATTTTCTAAAGTGTCTAGCTTTTTTTGTTCATTTGTTTACTTATTAAACAATTTCTTAATTTTTTACTTAGTGCTTTTATCATAATTCTTTCCTTTTTTAAAAAGTTCTTTTTTTCTTACTTCTCTCACTAGAGTTCTGACATCATTACTGTCCTAGGTCTGATCCATCACACAGGTCTAAGAACACTGTTCACTATAACTGCATCGAAAACGAAAGCAAGGGTGATGGAGAAGAATCGTATAGTCCAGCAAGTTACAGGTGGTCTTAGAATGAAGTACCTAACTCTTAGCTGATTCTTTTCTTAACTGAAAATTTAAATAAACTGAGAAAAAACTGATGCTGTTTCAAGGAGCATTTTTCTGTTTAAGTACATACATTTATGTCCTTCCCCAGAACCTTCATCTGCAGCATAGGGCTCTGCTTTGAAATACATGTACTGTGTTTCTCCCCTACTCTTGCCACTCTCATCATATTCACTATCAGTTCCAGAGTCTTCTTCCGCTGTATCCCATGTCTCTTTTTTCCCTTCATTTGCTTTAGTTCTTCTACTACTCGTGATGCTATGGGAGTCAAGTCCATTAGCCAAGGGGATCTGGGCATTATCTGCATTGCACAAAGTGTCACTGCTATGACTGGAGCTGAGGATGTCACTGTCCACCGAACTTGTACTCCTGTCATTATTCACATCTGAGTCTGATCGTTCTTCAGACTGAAAATTTTCAGGATCAGAAGTCTGAATATGCTGTTCAAGTTCTCTATTATCCACCGATGCTGAAGAGTCCCTCTCATTAAGAGGTGATTCGATGTTTTCAAAGTCACTTGTTTCAGTACTTTTGCTGCTGTCCCCATTATCTCCATCTTGCTGCTGCTGTAGTGACAAGCTTTTAAGCTTTTCAGTGCTTTCTTCCAGAATAGCTTCCACAGACTTTAGGCTCCCCACAGGTCCTTTGACTCTTTCACAGTCATCATCCACATTACCAGAATCGCCCCCAGCTTTCTGGTATGCTGTCCTTTTGGAATAAGATCCTGGGGATTGTTCAGGTAACAAAACAAATAATCTGATTGTATTTGCATGCCGATCCAGGAGTTTCCATAAATGAGAGTCTGTAAAGGCCATCTGGTAATCCAAAGTCTCCGAACTTTCAACGAACACCTAAATAGTAAGTCAAAGAGTTATATTACATCATTAATTTTACTGACATTCCCATTCATCAAAAGAATAATATTGCATCAATACAAGACAGTGCATAAGTTATAAAATTTGGGATGATACTGTTTCTAAAGGACACGTGCGTTGTTTTTGGAGACTAAACAAAATAAATAATTATGTTCATATGTCTTTGTAATTAGCCATAAAATTGTGCTATGATAGATGAGACACACACACATGCAGATATCTTGTTTATTAGGTTGTCCATTTTCAAAAATTTTTGTATTCCACAAAATTGTGGAATCAAAGCTTAGCATGAATATTGATAGAGAAACACGGATAAAGGCATCTTGGGAATGCAGCACCAAAATCCAGATTATAAAAGAAATCTAATGGACAAATGACTTGGTTCTATAGCAAATAAATTGCATGGAAACAGACAAAAAACATGTAGGGGAATCTTTAGGTTAAAACAGACTGGAGAGATATATTATGGACTTTATTTGGATCCTGATTTGAATAAATAAATCCCACTGGAAAAAAATTTTATAAGATAATCAGGGAAATTTGAACAGTGACTAGATATTGCTTGATATTAAGGCATTTCTGTTAATTTTTTAGGTGTAGTAATGTATTTGTGGTTATACTTTTTTTAAAAGTTCTCATCTTTTAGAGCTATACATTCAGATTACTTATAGATAAAATGATATAATGCTGGGGACATTTTTCAAATAATCCGGGGGAAGGAGGTGGTGAAATACAGATGAAACAAGAGTTGATAACTATAGAAGCTGGGTGATGAGTACATGGGGTTCATTACGCTATTCTCTCTACTTCTGTGTATGTTTGAAGTTTTACATAATAAAGTTTTTTTAAAAAATGAAATGCATATACATAAATTTGGCAATTATGAATCACATTTTGAGTTTTGCATAAAAAGATAATTATTATTATTCAATAAATATTATAAATCAGGACTATCAGCTAACCATTTAAAGAAAAAAATAAAGTTAGATCCCTCCCACTCCTTACCTTAAAACATTAGAGTGAATTAGAGATTTTAATGTTACACACATAAACACCACACAAAAGTATTAGAAGAAAACAGAGGTAAATAAAAATTAACTATTAAGATTAATAAAGCAACATAAAAAAGGTTAAATGAGATAAAAGACAAGACTGCACTAAAACGAATGAGACTGGAAAAGGCGATAAATAAAAGATGACAAACAAGGAAAATTTTGGATGAAATTTATCCCAAGTAAACCAATGGTGTTAGGAACAAACACATAAGAAAAATGGTAAATGATGGACCACGTAATAATACCAAGAGATGGAACAAAAAGATCAACGCGAACTTTCTCTTTTCTAACAGAGATAAATGAGTAGGTAAAGGGAATAATGTTGGGTGAATCCAAGATGATAATTTTCTCTATACTAGGCATGCCTCTGACTTTCACCATGAAGTACTGCTTTATGGGAGAAGCTCAAGAATGAACAAAATTCAGAGGACATAATCACTGTGGATAGAAATACTCATGAAGGCTTCATCAAGAGGCAAGACCAATCTGGGGCTGGAAAAAAATTTAGGGAGAGGGGAAGAACACTCTAAGGGGGTTAGTTCATGAACAAGGCAAAGAGGAGAACCAGCAAGACTAACTCTGAGGACAGAAAGAAGCCTGATTTGAGCTGACTACAAAGGAAGGTAATTAATTATTGGGAGGATGTGAGAATTTAAAAGGTAAATTACAGACAGACGGTGGATAGCTTTAGAGGCCAGACTTATAATAATAAACTTAATTTTATTTACTATTACCAGCATAGAAAATAGTAATGAAAAAATAAAAGACATACCTTGTTACTTCTAAAAAAACCTTCAGCTTTCAGGGTTTTACTGGGCACAGTGAGAAGACGCAAATCATTGTAGCAGCGTTCTAGCACTATTCTCATTGTTTCCGCGGGTAAATGAATGGCCTACAAGGAAAGCAATTTAATAAAAAAGTACTCTTTCAAGAATAATTCTGCTTGCCTTGGAAATATGGGAAAATAAAATGCTGCTGAGTTCTTCTTAAAAATAGCAGAAATAAAATAAAAAGAAAAATAATTTTAGTACAGGTTTACAAATTTTTAAAGAATTTATGGGAAAAATTATTAGTCCCATCCATTAATTATGCTATAAATTAGGAGAACCAAGTATCACTTATAAATTTATTCTCTGAAACTATTTTAAAGGCAATGATTTTTCACGAAAAATTCTACTCCTCTCCAATCCGCAAAGTAAATGAGGTGATTTGGTTCCAAAGAAATTGAATAACTGACTCTTTGAGAGCTGATGTCAAACCATCATCTGTTTAACCTCCTGACTTTTGGCGTTTTCTTTTGTATTCTGTGAATAGTTGTGAATACTTTTACTAAGTCAACTTTCTTCTGCGTAAAATGAGATTAAATGAGTACGTATATTTTAAAGTTATTCTAAAATTCCACGTCCTTAATTTTTTGTGTCATTTTATAAATTTCACATGAAATGATCAGATAAAAATAATTTACATTTTAAAAAACATAATTTGTTTTCAATACAACTAACCATACCTAATTCTTTGGTAGTCTAGTGATACTTTAAACACTGTATTTCTTGGCACCATGTTTTGTGACTGCCTTTATTCTCTACAGACATATTTTTCCCCAACAAAATTATCAGCTTCTCCAGGGAAGAGAATGTCATGTGTTTCCTTTGTATTCTACCTCAGTGCTCATACTCTAGATTAAACTATAGGACAGAGCAATTACACTAATGTAGTCTTTTTATGAGCAATTTAATTATGAAATATGACTTCACAATATGATTTGTTTCCTGCAATTATTACTTTGGCAAAAGTGTTAGAAGTCATTGTTGTCTTTTTAACATAATAATAATTAAAACCCAACTTTTATATAATACTTTACAATTTTTTTTCACAGAGCATTTATTTGTTTTATTAACATTCACAACAACCCTGTTAAAACAGGCATTAAAAAACCCCAGATGAGGAAGAAAATATTTGCAAAACATATATCTGACAAGAGGTTAATCTCCATAATATATAAAGAACTCACACAACTGAACAACAAAAAAGCAAACAACCCGATCAAAAAATGGGCAGAGGATATGAACAGACACTTCTCCAAAGAAGATATACAGATGGCCAATAGGCACACGAAAAGATGTTCAACATCACTAATCATCAGGGAAATGCAAATCAAAACAACACTAAGATATCATCTTACACCCATTAGAATGGCTACAATCACCAAGACAAAAAACAACAAATGTTGGAGAGGATGTGTAGAAACAGGAACCCTCATACACAGCTGGTGGGAATGCAAACTGGTGCAGCCTCTTGAGGTATGGAGATTCCTCAAAAAATTAAAAATAGAAATACCCTATGATCTAGCTATCGCACTACTGGGAATCAACACTGGGTATTCCACTACCTGAAATCAACAATCCAAAGAGGCTTATGCACCCCTATGTTCATTGCAGCATTATTCACTATAGCCAAGAAGTGGAAGCAACCCAAGTGTCCCTCGACTGGTGATTGGATCAAGATGATGTTGTATATATATACAATGGAATACTACTCAGCCATAAAAAAGACAAAATTGTCCCATTTGCAACAACATGGATGGACCTGGAGGGTATTACGTTAATTGAAATAAACCAGAAAGAGAAAGACAAACACCATATGATCTCACTCATGTGGAATATAAACCAACACATGGACAGAGAAAACTGTAGTGTGGTTACCAGGGGCAATGGGGGTAGGGGGTGGGCACAAGGGGTGAAGGGAGACATGTATATGGTGATGGACAAACAAAAATGTACAACCAAAAATTTCACAATGTTATAAACTATTAAAACATCAATTAAAAAAAAAAAACACACACACAACCCAGATGAGATAAAAGACCAGAATACCATAAGATGAATGACTGGAAACGGGACTCAACTTCTTGACTTGAGATTATGGAACAATTTCCACTACACCAAGGGATCTTAACCTGGGGTTTAGGGACCCTGCAAAATTTTGCTTATGTCTGTGTGCTCAATGATCTATATAGAGTACAGGACCCCTGAAAGGATAATAATCATTTCTCTGGAGTGGACTAGTTTTTTTGTCTGAGGAAATTTGAATGTTTTCATCATCATATTTTTCCAGCTCAAAAATTCTGAATGAGCCTGTGTTCTTTATCATCCCCTCACATAATATGGCCAATATTTAATTCATCACCTTCCCTGTCAAATCTCCCCGACTTTACTCTTCTATTTCTATTAATATATCATCACTACCTTTCTGATTACCTAGTTTGAAACTCCTCAGGCCTTCGGTGCTCCTGCCTTACTCCAACATTTACCAATCACAAGTCCTGCAGATACGATTTACATAATTACTCTTACAAATCTACACTTTCTCTCATTTCTTGTCATATGCCTTCACTTGAATTATTTCCACAACTTCCTCATCTACATTCCTGACTCCTCCCTCAATCCATTTGGAATTCTAGTCTAGTGTTGCCAGACATCACTCTACAGCAGAGCTCCCGTGAGACCACTGCTGTACTCAGGAAAACAAACAACCCACTTCTATTGCCTCCATCAAACAAAGCCCAAACTTTTGTGTTTACTATTTAAAACTCTCCATGAAATAAACTGAACTTATATTTCCAGGCAGGTATTTTAGAATGATCCAGCCAAACACACATGCCATTGTTATGTACACTTGCCTCACACTTTCTTACCTCCGTACTTTGGTCAATCTGTTTCTTCTATTTGACACATCCTTCTCTCCTAACTATAGTTGTCTCCTAGCTATAAATATTGGCTCCTTGAGGTAAAACTGGTTCCTATATCTTACTCATAATTATCAAACAGTGCTTTGTAGAGAGCAGGCACTTAATATCACTGAACAATTTTAAACTTACCTTTGAAATAAGCTGTTTGAACTCTGTAACGGTTTGATTTAAGTAAGCACGCACAGTGATAGGAGCAGCTACAGACTCGGCCTTGAGATCAACAACATGAACTTTCACCATCACTTCTGTCACATGTGAAAAACATAAAAAACACAACTGGAGGTTATTTTTAAAAATGTATTTTACATGAGCAATGCATTCTTTTTTTTTTTTTTTTGTGAGGAAGATCAGCCCCGAGCTAACATCCGATGCCAATCCTCCTCTTTTTGCCTAGGAAGAGTGGCCCTGGGCTAACATCTGTGCCCATCTTCCTCTACTTTATATGTGGGATGCCACCACAGCATGGCTTGATAAGCAGTGTGTCAGTGCGAGCCTGGGATCCGAACCCCAGGCCGCCACAGTGGAGCGTGCGCACTTAACCGCTATGCCACCGGGCCGGCCCCAAGCAATGCATTCTTAATGTGTTTCTAATAGATGGCAAAGATAACATTTTTTAAATTATCAAGATGGTGGATGTATGTTATACATGTATAATACATGTTAAAACTTCTCTTTCACAGTTTATCACATTACAAACATTTATAAAGAAATGGAAATGAGGCTAATAAAAAAGTTCTCCTAGATGTCTTTAAAAAATGAAAAAAGTTGGGGCCGGCCCAGTGGTGCAAGCAGTTAAGGGTGCGTGCTCTGCTGCGGAGGCCTGGGGTTCGCCGGTTTGGATCCCGGGCGTGCACGGATGCACTGCTTGGCAAGCCATGCTGTGGCGGCATCCCACATAAAGTGGAGGAAGATGGGCACGGATGTTAGCCCAGGGCCAGTCTTCCTCAGCAAAACAAAAGGAGGATTGGCAGATATTAGCACAGGGCTGATCTTCCTCACAAAAAAAAAAAAAAAAAAGAAAAGAAAAAAGTCAAAATGTGATTTTTAAAAATACATGCTTTGTTTCCTTGTAAAACATAACATCACTGTCAAATTCATTAAGCATATTAAAAATATGTCCAAAGTTCCAAAACGCAAAAATCACAACACTAAATGAATGTAAATAACTAGAGAATGCAGATCAAATAATAAAGGGAACATAGCAGCCCTACCTGCTTGTGAACAACCTTCATTAAACCATTCAAGACCTTGTTCATAATCAAAGACTTCCTCTCCTCAAACTAATATTCTCTATACTCTATGGAAAATTCTACAGAAAAACTGTTTCGGTTTACATGTTTGTTTTTTCACTTAAATTCTTCATATTACAATTTAATCCCATCTTTCCCTCTTCTGTTTTCAGGAGATCGTATTAACTAAACTTTCAGTTATTAGAAAAATAAACGATCTTCAAACACGACATTTAATAGACAGCTATTCTCCAGCTTAACTGTTTAAATCTCTTATTTGTAGTATATGTCAATCCTCAGTTTTTTCCCTATGTTGCTAATCTAAATCTGACAAAATAATCTGCTAAAGTCTTGATTATTAATGAATAAAGCATATTGTTTTACAATCCACACTCACATTTAGAGTTCTTTTGAAAAAGTGGTTTTACTGCTGACACATGTTATCTTTAATCATAATTTTTGCTATCTAGCTCAAAAATAATCTGCAAGGAAATGCTCCAAAGGGATTCTTTACAAACAGGGCAGAGTCTGACCGAAGGAGCCCTTGAAAGAATACCACACTTAATTTACTATGGAAAGAGGAGCCTTCATAAAAAAAGGAGGTGCATACAATCCACAGAAGAACAGAATTTGAAAGGGTAGAAGAGTTAACAAAGTTACCTTTGTAACTTTGTTAAATTTTTAGGAATAAAAGTAGAGAACATAAGTCGGAATTCCTTTTTTTGTTTTTATTATTATTTTTATTATTTTTTTTGTGAGGAAGATCAGCCCTGAGCTAACATCCATGCTAATCCTCCTCTTTTTTTTTTTTGTTTCCCCAAAGCCCCAGTAGATAGTTGTATGTCATAGTTGCACATCCTTCTAGTTGCTGTATGTGGGACGCGGCCTCAGCATGGCCGGAGAAGCGGTGCGTCGGTGTGTGCCCGGGATCCGAACCTGGGCCGCCAGTAGTAGAGCGCGCACTTAGCCGCTAAGCCACGGGGCCAGCCCATTCTGAATTCTAATTAATGACCGACTCAAGGGAGTTACGGTCAAGACAACAACAGTAAAAATTTTGTAAAATTTTTTAAATGTTGATTTCCCCCTATTTGTTACAGTTTACATATAGCGATTACTAGAAAACTCTGAACACGTAACTGTCTTTAGGGACTACTTTGGTAAAGCTAGGGGCATTGTATTTTGCTTTCTAGATTAGTCTCAAACAAAGGAAAAAACCCCCAAGATACTGAGGAATGTGACAAATTTAATGAAAACAGAAAAAGCTGAAGTCTTTGGGACCTGTAGAAATGGAGAGGATGGAGAAAAATAAAAAATGTTCGCAGTGATGTGTTATAAAACCACCTCTTCAAGGAGACCCTGAAAAACAGACTCTACTTCTGCGATTTTTAATGGGAATGTACTTTTTTTGGACTAAGGTCTTCTCTAGAAGGTAGAGGCAGAGGCAGAGGCAGAGGGAGGGAGTGAGGATGATTCAGTACTGGAGAAGAAAAATCCTACTGAAGACTATAAGCTCGAAGTTTTGTAGTTGTTTGTTTTTTAAATTTTGTGTATAGCTCTTTGAAAGCAATCTAGAACTTAATTCCAAGTTTGTTGCTGACTACTTTCCAACTTTTCAAAATTATTCTACATTTTAAGATCATATAAAAAATTTAAAATTAAATTCATTTCTATAAACAAAAAACTTTCTTATGAAAATTTTAAGTCCAGTACAACTCAAAATACTATAAAATTCCTTACCTCCAGGTTTATAAGACTGGAAAACTTGATCAGGTTTTCTTGTCTCCAACAGCAGATCAAACATATATGTTGACTTGACTCCACCTAGTAGAAGTCCCATTGGTGTATCTTCTTCTCCCTCATACGATCGTTCAAGATAATCATGAAACTCATCATATTTAACAAGGCGACAGCAATCCATGGGTATTACCTCTTCTAAATCCATCATCTAAAAGAAAATGACCCCCAAGAAAAAAGAAAAAGAAATATGCAGTGTTTTAGTCTGATGTGTAATGGGACTACCAACAGACCCTAACAAGCAATAAAAGCCATGTATTTATGATTTGCATCAAGGCTCACAGTCATCCAAGTTGAAGGCATGACTTTGGTTATTTTTAAATAATCATATTTCATTTTCCCTCAAATCATACAACCTATGCACTAACATATTTAAAATACATTTTTGGTTTTTAAAAACGTTAACATTTTAAACTTTAGATGGACTCAAAATCAATGTATTATAAGCTATTATTCTTTAATCACTAAGTTGGAAACATAAGGGGGAAAACAACCAACTAGAATATGCATCTTTTGTTTTCTTAGTCCAATTTGGAGAAGAATTGCTAACTCATGCATCTAGTAACTATCTTCCCAAGCACAGGAGGACAGCATCCCTTGTAGAGCCACACAAAGGCCATAGCTTCTGTGTCTCTTGAGTGTATCCCATTCCTCTTTGGACCACCCCCTTCAATATTAGCCTCCAGAACACCTACAGCTCAGGAATTTCTATCATAAAATTTTCCTCTAGCCCATGTCACTCCCTAGTAGATGGCATACCCTGGGTGCAATATGTCTTAAGTGGGAAATGAAGCTCCTGGAGAAACACAGTAAGATTGCTTAGAACTATTTAACACCCATTTAAGGTTTGTGGTTAGGACTTGAGAGAAAAACGTGTAAGCATTGGTGTGTGTCCCCACTGACCTCTCCTCAGTCCCCACTCTCATCCCCAGAGATGCGGCTCCATTTTTGGTACGTAAGATAGATTTGTTTCTCTCTTCTGTTTGACTCTTTATATTTGTGAACTTTTACTTCCTATTTTTAAGACAATATTTTCTCCTGGCATTAGAAACTGATGGAATATAAACCACCTTTACTGCTATCACTGATTGACCTCACTGTGTAAAACTGTTTAGTTAAGATGTTTCCTCCGTTTTAGTCTAATTTGACTTCACTATTGTTTTGCAAAGGTAATGTTTGCAGCCCACCATTCTTTTCAAGGATTTTTATTTTAAGGAGGTGAATCCAGAGCCATCCATCCACTGTTTTTACTCATTCACATGCCCATCCAATTCTGATTCTCCTACATACCAGGCAAAAGTACTGGAAATGCAATCGTGAGCAAAACCAGAATGCTCTTCGCCCTTTAAGTGCTTACAGTGTAGTGAGGGAAAGTGACATTAATTAAAATAGTCACACAATTAAATGTAAATTTTCAGTGCTGATACGGCCTATGAAGAACCAGGTACATAATACAAAGGGGTTCTCAAACTTTAGTATGCCTAAAAATCACCTGCAGTACTTGTTTAAAATGCATATTCCCAGGCACCAACACAGAAATTCAGATTCATTTGCAGGAATTAGGTCTTTAATAGGAAAGTGATTCTGGTGCAGGTTGTGTTGGATCACACTTTGAGAAACAATGGCAGCTATCTTGTGTACTACTTTTAGTTCTCTCATTGGTTCCATAATTATAAATGAAATAATGTAGTATGCAATTTTTCTGTAGGTAATGACTATTTAATTTCAGTCAAATGATGTTTATGTATATATGGAAAGGGCAAAGAATTTAATTTGTCAAGTATCACAGATGACACTTAGAATAATCTGGTTAAAGAATGCTTCCCTTTCTATTTGCCTTTCAAAACCCACTAATAACTTTCCATTATTCTTAGAATAAAATGCAAACTTCTATTCTTACAAAGTCTCTAATTTCATTTTATGCTACTCTATTCTCATTCAAGACAATCTAACCATAAAGTCGCTTTTTCCAGCTTCTTGGTCATGTCAAGGGCTTTCTCACCTCAGTTTTCACTCATGCTGCTCCCTCTACTTAAAATATTCTGCCCCAACGTTTTGCACAGCTATCTCCTTCTCATGGTTAAAGTCTCAGAATAAATAATCTCAAATATACTACTGATTTACTTTATAGCATCTAAATGATAAAATATTTGCAAATTGTGATGTTTAAATATTTTTGGTCTGTTTTTCTTCCCAATGGATATAAACTCCATGAGGGCAGTGAGCGTGTCTTGCTCACCCTGGTGTCTCTAATGCATCATATGGTAGGCACCTAATAAACATCTGCTAATTGAATATAAAGAATAAATAAATATTTTTGTTTCTAAATCTAGTTCTGAGTTCTAGACTGCTTAACTGGTTTCAGAGTGAGAAACTGCTTAAAATCAACTGAGTATGTTCCAAAGAAGAGGTATAAACTACGATCTTTAAGAGCCAGAGGATTTAAACGGGCTATCCAAGTTACTGCAAGTGCTTATATTACTATTGACTATAATAAAAATTTTGGAAAATATGTTAATACTGTTCAATCAATCAATAATTAAATGCCAACAGGACAATTAAACATACCTTATAAGCCATTTCTACTGCTTCCTTTAATGTCTTATCCTTATGAACCTCCAATTTATTTTCCATCATTACTTGTTTCACAGGATGCAAACAGAATAATTTTATCTAGAAATTATAAAATATCATCATCAACTCAGCAGGTCATGAGTCAAAGCTTAATTCTTTTGTAGACAGCATTTTTTTTCCTAGGGATCATTTTCTCTCGTGTCTATCTCACTTAATAATTGATAGTGACTACGTCTCATGTTACTAAAAAATTCAAAAACATTAGTTTTAACAACTGTATGTTTCTTTACGAGCATGTACCATAATTTATGTAATCATTCTCCTACTGACACGCCTTCAGGTTGTTCCCAATTTTTTGCTAGTTTGGAAAATACTGTGATGAAAGCCCTCGTGGTCAAAATTTTTACAGCGTTTGTGATTATCTCATTAGGTAATATTTCTTTAAGAGAATTATATAAAAGAATATGAAATTGCTTAAGGCTCTTGATAAATTCTACTCAATTTCTATGCAGAAAGGTTTACCAACTTATTCTTCTTGTAGCAGAATGTGACAATGTTCATCTCATTGTAACCTCACCAGCAGTGAATATTACCAATACACGTTAGTGTTTTTTATGCATAAAATAAAATCATATCTTACCTCAGTAATATAGTTGATTACACTGCCTAATGACCCTGATAGCATAACTGTCTACAGAATCAGCCCAATGAATTAGTTACGAGAATGGCAGTTAAGCAAATGTCAACAGCACTTTTTAATTACAAATGAAATTACAAAATCTAACCTTGCACGTATTGCGCTCAATTTCTCGTTGCCTCTTTTCTTGTTCTTCCAATTCTCTCTCTCTCTGCACCAAGTTTTTAATATGTTCTGGATATTCATCTACTTCTAGAAATTCTGTTAATGATAAGAACAGGGTAAGACAGGGTGACTGAAATTGAGCTTCTTTTATTTAATGTTGTTCTACTATGTCCGCACAGTATATACTTCTACCACAGCCATCACCAAACTACATTTCAATTACATCAACCTCTCAACTTGGAACATGAGCTTCTTCCAGACAAGGGTGAAGAGACAGTTGATAATGACACATGGTTAAGTCTCATATTTTAAAAAGCCATATATTTGTCCGTAACAGCTCTTGGTTCCAGGACAATTCTAGCAAGTAGATTAAGATTTTTAGAATGAAAAAGCCTCTCTGAAATTTGGAAATAGAATCATTTCTGATTTCAAATCATGCTATACCATCAAATTGTGTGACCCTGGGCAATTTTACTTCTCCAGACCTTGGTTTCTTCAATTTATTAATAGCACCTACCCCAGAGAGTTATTAACTGGGATATAATAAAATGTAATAAACGCTGTTGCTGCTGCAACTACCAAAAATGCTATTTATTTACTTGTTTATTATTATTCACTAATACGTTACTTTTCCTTTGTTCTCAAAGCAGTCTTTTAGCTGCCTTCTGATCAAAGAACTTCAGATGTAACTCAAAGCATTAAAAGTGACAATATGAGATTATGACACTGTTTAATAAAGCCAATGATTATTGGGCATTAAATAGGGAGAGCAATTTGTATTAAAAAAATCATGCCTCTGTGGAAGGTCAAAATCCACTGTTTGTAGAAATGAGCTCTGATTTTTAAAATATTCCATACTATACATTACAGCGCCCTCTGGTGCTTCATCCCAAAACTAGAGTGGGGAAAGCAGATAAAGGAAAGCTGAGTTACAGCACTACTGGAAATATCGGGAACGCTGGGTACCACAGAGGACACAAGAACTACAATCCTGGCTCTGCCTCCAGGCAGCTATGATCTTGGATAAGTTACTCTTTGGGGTATAGTTTCTTTATCTGTAAAGTAAGAATGATTACTCCAACTCTGAAATCTCTGTTCTGAAATGACTTCTTGTTATAATTTCTACTTATTTTCATTAATTCCACAGTAAATTATCGATCAGCCACTATACGACAGACTCTGGATTATACCACTGGTGAAAAGATGAGTAAGTCCTAAGCCTTGTACTAAGTGAATTCACAATCTAACGAGGGTTAACAAAAATGTAAACAAAAACATTATACTACTTAAAATAGATTTACTCATAGTATGGTAGTTTCTAAACAAAGGAAATACGTTGAAATCAAAGACAGTGATTACATTATTTTAATTATGAAAAGAATATGTGCAAACACACCACCTGTGTATGTATCTGTATATACATGCACACGCCCCTACCTATTTGCAATACTGCTTCAGTCAGTCAGAGTTAGCAAGAAAAAAACAGGCACTGCAATTTTTTAAAGTAATAACTACAAAAGAAAAAAATGACAAAGCCACATGCTTTCTATACAGGATTGTTTTGGGGATTCTTAATAAAATTAAAATATAATAAAGGATGTGTACTAGACTCATAAAACTTTACTTGCTTTTTAAGCAAATAAGCAAAGATATTTAACTCTAGTTCTTAAGAATGTTTCTAGAGTAGTAAGGTGGAAGTTTATTTCACCTAGGATCCCCATTCAAAGCATTCAGATACTAAAATACCCAAAAAGCTTGTAATATAAAAAAGCCATAATAGCTAAATTTGAGATTTTACTATGTACTAGCATAATGCCAAATGCTTAAAATATATGTTATTTCATTTAACTTTTTATAAAAACCCTGTAAAATACTATAATTATTCCCATTTTACAGATGTGGAAAGACTTAGAAAAGTTAACTTGCTCTGGGACATGCAGCTGGTGAGTTACAACTGCTACACAGGTCTGGGGGGGTTATCATCACTGAACCAAACTGCATATGATACAATTTTACTGCAAATAAATATCCAATTTATTTAATGTAGAGTAAGTTTTGTGTCCTAGTGTATTAAAAAATAGTTCAGGGGGGCTGGCCCAGTGGCATAGTGGTTGAGTTCACACGTTCCGCTTTGGCGGCCCAGGGTTTGCAGGTTCAGATACCGGGTGTGGACCTATGCACTGCTTATCAAGCCACGCTGGGGCAGGCATCCCACATATAAAGTAGAGGAAGATGGGCACAGATGTTAGCCCAGGGCCAATCTTCCTCACCAAGGGAAAAAAAAAAAAAATCAACCTTTTTCCAAGTGTTTTTACCAGTTGGTATTATCTCATAACAGTTTTTATAATTAATTATTCTAAGCATAAAAAAACTTAATTGTCCTATCATTTAAAAGTGGTTATCTGAGTTTGTAAACTTGCGAAAAAAATTAGTTTATAACAGATTAAAATCAAATTAACTATATGTTAACATACTTGCATTTCTTGCTGGATCCTTCAGTCTATATATCAGCATATATGCATTTGTGGAGCTAGTAGAAATATAAAAAAGATTAATGGGGACAAAAAGTAGATTGTAAAGATTCCATTTCCTAGCATCAAATATTTATTTAAAATAGTTTTTTATTATTTCAAACAATTAGAAAATCATGCAATTCTTGGACAGGTTCAAATTTAAAACATTCTAGAAAGAAAAGGAGAATCTACTTTGCTTTTACTGACACATTTATGAGAAGATTCCATATCTCCTCTTGGTAACCTAGTAAAGTCTTCAGAATATCTGTGTCCTAGAATGATTACCACAGTTAAGTCAGGACTCAGCAAACCTCTGGAAAGGGCCAGATAGTAAAAGCCTTAAGCTTTGCGGGCCAAATGGTCTGGGCTGTAATTATTTAACTTCTGTTGTAGTGGGAAAAGATCAACATACAATATTTAACTAAATGAGTATGGTGGTGTTCCAATGAAACTTTATTTCCAAAAACTGAGGGCAGGCTGGCCCGTGAGTTACAGTTGGCCGATCCCTGGGTTAAATCTTTTTAATGGTAAAAACTGTTGAGAAGCTATAAGTGATTCTAATTTATAAACACTAAAATACAGACACTAAACATTATCAAGTTACTTACCTTGCAAAAGCACTGGAGTAATAGCCTCTGCTTCCTGAAGATCCACCATGCGTTTTCTTAATGTCCTCTTGTGTTATCTGAAAGTTGTTCCATTATTTACTTTTTTGTAAAATCTGTAACACTGTTACCTTTATGTCAACGTATAACCCAATTTTTAACCTCAGAGGTAAATGGACCACGCAGACACCAATTCACAAAATTTAATCATAATCAGTGGCTGCTACCAGCCAATCAGTTCCAGCGCTCCTAAAATTAGGCAGCCCGCATGAAGGCTCAGGGCAAGAAGAAAACTGGGAGTCTATCTCTTGGAAACAAGAGAAGCCCGAAACAAAACAAAGAAATAACAATGAACAAGCAGGAAACTTAATGAAAGCAAAAACAAAAGACTGATTTGCTATGTGTCTTAAAATGCTACAGTGGACAATCTCCCATTTTTAATAAATCCTGCTGTCGATTAGAAACATCCCTAACTCCTGTCTTTCACAATAATAATCTTAAAAAACCCCCCCTTACCCTGCTGACATGTTGATCATTGAAGCTGTACCACTGTTCATCACTGAATGACTTTATACAAGCATAATAATGACCACCAGCAGCACTCCCTGAATGAACCATAACGGAGAAGAGCTCATAGATCAAGGAATTCTAAGGGGAAAAAATAAAAGTAACTCAGAGAAGAGGAAAAACACAAAACTCTTATTTTTATATTTCCTATTCTCTACTAATACATAGTGAAGTGGCGTGTTAGTTGTCCTGTATATTTATTGAAGGTCAACTTTCCTCTAAGATAACTAAAATGGCAAGTCACCACATATTATACACCACAAGTTTCATTCAGTGTATTCCTTCACATTTTAATTATGCTATAACCTCTGGAACTATGTATATCTAAAATATAAATTTATTCATTCATATAAAAAGAAAATAAAAGTCTGAAATTTTAGAAGCAAGTGCTAAATACAAGACTGTTCTGATATGCACAAGATCAAGAAATCCCAAATAACATTGTTTTTTATTCAAATAAGATTCTATTTCCTTTACAAAAGAGCTGAAGGATATAATGATTTAGAACATCTTCTAATGTATATACGTAATATCTGTGATATAGCGATCTACCGATTTGACATCTCTCAGGTATGCAAAGCTGGTTCAATATGAGAAAATCAAACCATGTAATCCAGGCTAAAACATTACATGATTATACCAATTGACTCAGAAAAAGCATTTGACAAAATCCAATACCCATTCATGATAAAAACTCTCAACAGACTAGGAAGAGGGGAACCTCCTCAACTTGATAAAGAACATCTAAAAAAACCTAGAGCCAACATCATACTTAACGGTGAGAGACTGAACACTTTCCTCCTGAGACTGGAAACAAGGCAACAATGTCCTCTCTTACCACTCCTATTCAACATTGTATGGGAAGTCCTCCCTAGTGCAATAAGACAAGGAAAAAAACCAAAACTGACGGACATAATTGTCTATGATGAAAAACAAGCAGGGGGTTGGATTTGGCTCTTGAGCCACAGTTTGCTAACCCTTGCTTGAATGCAACGTTCTTTATACTAAGTTATAATGTATCCACTACATTATTCATTACATAGCAATTCACACTCACCTATCTGCCCTGAAAGAAACAGAAAATTTTAAAGAGTAAAGTGTAGTGATGATGGAGGTGAGAATAATGGTCTTGATCCAAAAATAGATTTATGTAAGTGAAACTGCATTCTTTAATATTTCCTAAAAAACTCTGTATTTAACATGACTCTGTAAGATTTGAGCTAGTGATCAGTCTTCATGCTAGTGATGTTATTCACACCATGCTCAAGACATTTGATCTGTAATTCTCCCCTCAATAAAGCAGATTATACTAATGTGAAAGAAATGGTTTGATAAGATCTTAAAAATCATTGATGCAGTGACAAAAAAGATTCTACCCTAGAGATTATTCAGTCTTGTAGTCTTCAAATTAAAATCCACAGAAGGATACCTTTTTCTGAAGTGCCTTAAGGGCTGTCATGGGGGAGGGAGACTGAGGGCTTTGGCTTTCCCCCACCTCAAAAAGATCAGTTCTATTATTTACTGTTTCATAAAGGGTTCTATAACCATAACTTTTTAAACCAACAGATTTAGTCTAATGCTTTCATTTTGCTGTATGAGAAAACTCTCATGAATAAGATTTAGAGGCTTGCTGCAACTTCAAAGGCAGAAGTAATTTCTTGACTACTAGGCACCCTTTCCACACCACCACCCAGCTTGCTAACGTTGTTAAAGTTCAGCCTCCCAGAAATTAATGCTCCCACTTGTAAGTATTTTTTCCTAAAGTTTAATAATGATCACATATATGCATAAAAAACAATACCTTAAAAAAAGTCTTAACTTTCAAAAATTAAACTTCTTTTAAAGAGAATTTTATCAGTTACAACAGCTGGAGAATTATATAGCAGTTCAGAGATTATCTGATTCTCTCTTTCAACAAACAACCACCTATAAAAGATACCTTTTCAAGTCCAGGTTTTGAAATCTTTTCAGTTCCACTGTTGTTTTCAAGACAGATCCCTTCATCGACACCATCATCATTGGAGAAGTCATTGCTCATTTGATCACTGTGACAACTGCCTTCATTTTCTGCTCCACTGTCCGTGCAACTTTCAGTCTGGGGAGATTTCTTAACAAAACATAATTATCTTACAATTATAAGCTAAATAAAGGGAAAATATATACTCAGTAAAACTTTCTATCTATATGCTACTAACTTTTTCACATAATTTAAAATACAATTGTTAATAAAAATACCTAAGTAAATTTATTTTCTCTTAAAAAATGACACCTTAAATAAAATTAAACAAAAAAAGTGTATTTTAAAAGCATTTCTATTAATGTCCTTAAAATTCTAATACATCAAATTAGTGATTCAGAATTCTACTAAACCCCATTTCTGTTTATAGCTACAACGTAACAACAGAGAATTACCATTTCTTTCACCAAAATCCATAAAAGCAGAGAACCCAAGCTCCAAAATGAGCTTCTTTTGTTCTCAAATCCCAAAAGAATATCATCTTTTTTCATGAACAAAAAGTTCAATTCAGCTTATCACTGTGCTACGTATTACAATTAGAAAGAAAAACAAGACATTGTATTCATCTTCAAGAATTTTATACTCTAGTGTATAGGAGGTGGAAATGTAATAACAGCATTCATACTCTTCTGTGCTTTTATGATTTTTAAATTTCTTTCATGCAAATTTAATTTGAAGAAATATACTTCTTAGAAATCCCCAAACAACTCTTTCCCTCCTTTTCTTTTAATATTTTATATACATACCTAAAAATGTTTTTATTTAAATAGTTTGAGAATTTTTCTCTAAGATGTGGACTCTTGATGCGCATACGGCATTGCATAGAAATTCTTGAATTAACCAAGCAATATGTAATAAACACCAACTTTTTGCCAAGAACTTTGTTGTAGGGACTGCATCTAACAGGCAGACTTCATCCCTCAAGAAAGTTTGGTTCAAGGAAAAATGGAGATGAAAACCAACTTTAGAACTCTACACTAAGTCCAAAGAGATCATTCCTGAAACTCTTTTAACTAAATCAGAACATCTTCTCTTCTCTTTTCCCAAGAAATGGACCTAGAACTTTCTAAAATTTTCTGTCAAACTTTATATCTAGGTTTTCTTCCCTTGGAAAAGATTTCCTTTTCCAAGAAATACATTAGTAATATACAGAAGAACAATCTAATATTCATCTCTGTTTGAGGAGGAATACTATAAAGATTATGTCTTTGAAATGTTGGTATCCTTTGGGGTAGATTTTTTAGTTTACACACGGCATTTGACATATTATTTTAAATTAAACCTTTCAAAATGTTACCTGGTCATAGGTACCATTCAATAAACATCTACTTTATTTAAGGCACTCTGTTCTATAGAAGCTATAAAAAGCAATTATTACTCTTACATTACAGACAAGCAAAGTGAGGCTCAGAAAGCTTGCTCACATTGCCTCTTAGTATTTAAATAAAACCTGATGAATGTTTAAAGTTATTTTTGAGCTTCTGGGAAAAGGCATTTTTATAACTATAATAATCAGTTCCATTCAGAAAAAAATGCTTCATGGTAGTTTTGAGAATAATAAAGATTTATCACTCTGTAATAACTATGTTAAGTGACTGTAAATATTCCCCATAATGAAATCAGAAGAGTTTCCAAAAGAATACAGTGGGACAGTACGAATCTTCTACTGAATAAGGATAGAGGAACCAGAGAATTTGGGGAGGTCAATGAGTGAAAGAAATTACCTGTGTCCTTCAAAGTTGTATTCTCAAACTATTTAGTTTTAATTAAAAAAAAAAAAAAAGACACAGAAATCGAAATATAATGGTATACACTCAAAATTTATACATTATAAACCAATATTACCACAATAAAAAAAAAAGATTCATTAAAAAGGGAAACGGACAAAATACTTTTAATTGCCTAGCTTTCTAATCTAGCCAGTTTAAGAGCTAGCACACCTTAAGTGAGAATAACTCAGAACACTTAATCCTTGAAAAAGACACTAAGACAAATACAAGAAATAAGGCCATACTACCCAGTTTGCTTGTTCATTCATTCACTCACATATATTTCCTATGTGTTTATTATGTATCAGAAACACAGGTGCACCCCATGTCTAGACTGATTCGTTTCAATAACTGGTAAAGTTATGAAACATACTATTATCACTCAAATTAAGGAAATAATTTCAGAGTTTGAGATCCTTTTTGTCTTTTCAAAGAATATCATAAGTTACTCCAATCAAGCAAGAATATTTGAAATATAAGTTATAGTGGACAGGAAAAGCTTATAGAAAGCTGGGTCTTTCTACAGAACTTGTCATTACGAAATAAGGAAAGAAAGGAAAAGTTTCAATCAAGAAGACAGTCTAACCAAACAACATCAGTGTTAAGTTACTCCAAATAGCTCTTTTAAACACATGATGGACCAAAATGGATTAATGAAAAATATCTTATAACAAGAAAATATAATAAATATTTACCTCATCTTCAACATCAATAAATGTACTCATATCTAGCTCCTCAGGAAATGTCATCCGATCATTCAATTTAATCCTGTGCATGGTTGTATAATCAAAATCAAACCTTTTCAATTGTAAGGTCAGCAGATAAGGGAAATGCAAAAACCGAAGACCCTGAAAAACAAAGGGACCTATTGAATATTGAATATTATCTCAGATAATTAAGTATTAATTTCTACATGGCATCTACCTTTCGTGCATCACACTTCTTCTTACAACGTTCACAAAAATATTGATTTGGGCCATCCAGGATCTCAGGCTGAATAAATGCATGCAATGCTTCTTCCTAGTTAGAAAAAAATAATTGTTTTATAATTACTTACAAATATTATAATATTAACGACAAAGCCCTGAATATAAAAACACTGCAGTTACCAAATACTTATAAGTAGAATGGTTAGAAAATTAGAACTCAAAATGCAAAAAGGAAAAAAATTGTCATTATAAAAACTAAGCAAAACATAATTTATTTCCTGTTGCATGAGGTCTGCCTTTCCCAGTATTGCACATCATAGTCATTTCTACCTAATTTTTTTGACTTTACATTGTGGTGTCTGGCTAAATAATCTAGTAAAAATCCTCAGTCTTTAGATTAAAAAAGTAATTCCATACTTCTTAGAAAAGCAGTTACATGTATCACTTCAATCTTCTTGTAAAAGGAGACAACTGTACAATAAATAACACAGAACTCTGAAGAATTCACACTATACATACATTAAAAAGTCTAATAAACATCCTTAATCACTATATCTAAGGTCAGTGAGTAATCCACCACTAAACTAGTTATAAAGACTGGAAAACACTGCAATCCTCTCACTGTGTATCAGATACTGCTCCATCTGAAAATGTACAGTGAGAGCTCCTGGACTGTTCACCTAGTGGAAGGAACCATGTGGTTCTTTTTTCTCCATACAGCCTTAAGACAGAAGCAAGAAACTTAGTATAATTACTGTTGAAGAATCAGTGGGCATAAGATTAATCTTTAATTTTTAATTACTGATTTTTCACAATCAAAAAACCAAATTTTAGTTAACACAACATGTAAGATAAGACTGCATAATCTCAAATTTTGTTTGATGTCATCTCTTTTCTTCACACATGGTCTAGGCAGAACTACTGACAAAAAGGAAAAGAAAGGGAATCACGAAGACAGACAAAATATCTTCAAGTATTTTTCTTTTGGTACAGAACAAGTTGTTCCTCAAAAGATAAATAAAGGAGTTTAATCTGGCAAAATGGACCTAATTATAAAATAGCTGGTAAAGCTTATTAAACTACCATCTACATATTGTTTGATATAACTCATTCTGGAGTAGGATCAAAAATATGAAAAGATATTCAAAATGCTTCTAACTTCATCTATCTTCTATTTTGTTCTCAGAACACAAGGAAGCACCAAGCGTTGCGGGGATCAATTAGCTGGGGTGTTTTCCACATGACCAAGCATTTTACTGGAGGTCACAGGAAAGGACACATTTAGAAAATGATTTTTTTCTCTGAAGCATATTTTAAGCATGAAAAAGGCAAATTCTGTAAAAACATGGCAGAAAAAAAAAAACCTTTTAGATAAATCACTTCTACAGCTTAACACAGACCAACAGATATCAAATTCATCAAGCTTTCCAACAGAGGTAATTTGAACTGGTAAAACATTTAACATCTAAAAAAAAAAAAAAAAAAAGGGTGGGGAGAGGAGGGAGAGTGAAAAATTCTGTAACTCAAATTCTACTTTACTAAACTAAGGTGTGTGTGTATTAGTCTCTGGCTTAGGGTTCACAGCTAGAGCTATCTTTTTTGTTGTTGTTTAATTTAAAACTCAGAGAAAAGTTTAAAGAACAGAAAATTCCTATAAACTCTTTACTTAGACTCACCAAGTTCTAACCTTCTGCTACCCGTGCTTTATCATTCTCCTACCCACATACACATTATGATGTATTTTTCTGAACCATTTGAGAGTAGTTCACACATCATGCTTTTCCTCTTAATACTTCAATGTGACTTTTTGAGAATAAGGATATTCTTACATAAACAGAGTTATCAAACTCAGAAAAAATTAATATTGATAAAGTGCTTTTTGTCAGTCCATATTTCAATTCTGTCAATTATCCTAATAACGTGCTTTATAGTATTTCTCCCCGTCCAGTACAGAATCAAATCAAGGATCACAGATTGCATTTGGCTGTCTGTTTCTTCAGATTTCTTTTGTCTAGAACAAAGGAAAAGCCTTCCTTTCTTTCATGACATTAATATTTTTTTTGTAGGGGCCAGTTATGTTCCTCATGATTAGGTTCAGGTTATACATTCTTTACTAGACTAGTACCTAAGTAATGGTATGTCCTTCTAAGGGTATCACAGCTGCAGGCCATGATGTTCCTAACTCCTTATTGGTGATATTAACTTTAATCACCTGGGCAAGGTGTTATCCTGTTTCTCTGCTATATAGTTATTTTTTCCCCTTGCAACTAATAAGCAATCTGCAAAAAAGACCCTCGGAGACCAGGCAAAAATCCTGAGCCTTAAACTTTCCGCCCTAGATTCAGTATCCACTAATGGATTCTCACTTATACCAAATTTTAATGTGATGTTTGCTTTAGGAGGCAACTTGAAAATCTTTTTCTTTTAATAGGCAATTTAAGCCTGTTTATATTTGATATGACTGATATGTTTTGTTTCCTCTCAGTCACTACTGTATGCTATAATTACTGCACGTATTAAGTAATATTTACTGTGTTCCTTTCTCTACATGGTGTTTTCTTTGCTACTTTTTACATTTTCTTTTGGTATTTAGGAAGGTCAGTAATTTTGCTCTAGTGCATTTATACTTGTTAGTGCCCTTAATCCTTTTTCTCCCCTTTTTTCTTACTTAAGCTTTTGGTGTCCAGTCTGCCAGTTTTTAACGGTATCCTTTGTCTCCTACCTATTCAACAGTCTATGATCTTATTCTACTTTCCCTTTCTCTCCTCCTTCTCCTCCTTTTTAAAGAATGGTATTCTTTGTACTTTGTCAAACGTGTAACATTTCATACTATTCTTCTACTCATGACCCCACCCTTGTTTTATTTACCCCTTAACTTTACAATTCAATAAATCAAATGCTCATAGTCCTTCAGCTGCAGCTTCTCCAGTGATCTCTTGGTTGGATGGAGCTCATCCTCTAATAAACTCCTCAGGAAGGGCTCATGGTTACAATATTCAATGCCTTCTTCAATGTTCAAAATTGGTTTTCTATTGCCATCATAATTGAAGGGAAACTTGGCTGGATATCAAATCCTTGGCCTGTACTTTCTTCCCTTGAGTTTCTTGAAATTGTTATGCTGTTTCCATGATTTGCACGTTGCTCATCAGAAATATGATGCCAGTCCAATTTATCCTTCAAGTTGAACAGTTTACTAAAATATGTCTCAGAGATGATCATTCCAGGTTAGTTTGTCCAGGTACATGGTGAGTCCTTCAAAAGGCAGTTTTAAATTTCCCTTATTCCTAGAAAGTTTTCCTGGATTATAAATTTTGTTCCACTGTGCTTTTATTCTTCACAGACTCTAATTATGTTGGACCTCCTTTGCTGGTCTTCCCTTTCAATCATTTTCTCTGAGATCGTTTTAACCTCTTTATCTCATTTTCATTTGATGTCCCTCTTTAGATTTTCATTCCATTCTATTCTCTTGAGAACTTTATAATTTACTCTTCATTTCTAACATAGTTTTGTCTTTTTCTTCAATTTCTTTACTGAGTTTGATCAACTCGCATTGTATTTCTTCTTCTTCTTCTTTTTTTAATCCACTTCTCTCCTTAAACTTTTGGATACCAGGTTTTGTTTTGCTTGTTTGAGAATACTTAATTTAGTCTAGAGTACTGTGTTACAGTATTCTACTTTGTGGTTATTTTCCCGAGGGTTTTTTTGGGGGAGGGGCTGGATTTTCATAAGCTGAAATACTTTAATACATATTTTCTGTTTTCTTCTAACAGTGGTGCTAAGTTTGATTTTTTCCCTCTAGTCATTTTGTGGATAGCATTCTTTAGTTTGAGTGTACCTTGTCAACTTAGTGAAGTGCAGTCTCTTGAATGGGTAATGGGAGGGGAGAGGTTGGGGTCTTCTTTCATTTTGCAGGACCCTTAATTTTTCTCTCTCTTCTTGTTTTCTCTTCACTGCTATGACTCAGAGGCATCACTCCTTCTCTGTTTATATCCTCCTTCTCCCAAAGCAAAATTCTTCCAAGGATGCCACTTCTAAGTCTGCTTACTCTAAAACCCCTTTCTTGTAGCTGGTACTATAAACTACCAAGTCCCAGTCTATGTTCACTATTTTGGCACGTACTGTTGTACTTTCTCTTTTTGAGGGTGATTTTGCCTCCGTTTTGCATAAGTCCTTCAATCCCCTCTCTTCTGTTTCACAGAGTCTCTAAAGCTTCCCACTTCATCCTCTCCACATATACAGACTTGCAGCAGCAGTGGAACCGCTGCTGGAATCTGGTGATGATTTTGCTACTTACAGGTGATTTGAAGTTCATGATATTCTGTCTCCTAGTAATGCAGAAGGAACACAAATGAAACCCAATTAACCCATACCTTCTATGGTTTTTTGGGAGGATGTGTGGAGATATGTAGATTCAGGTAGGCACCATTATCCTTCAGATTGAGAAACCAGTTAAAGCTATATTAATAATTTTCTATAGCTTCGTTACTCTAGCTTTTAACAAGATGTCACCAGGATAAATATAATTAAGATTACTGAGTTATAAAAATTAGTGTCAATTCATCCATCCATTCAACAAATAAATTATGTAAATAATGGGGTAATGTGGTTATATATTTCTATCTTGACAATGTGATTACAAGACAACTAAAAATCATGCCGAACAATATTTTAGATTTTAAAAAATAAGTTATGAATCATAAAAATGGAACAAAATATTATAAACACTGTACATTAATAATACACACAAAAAAACTGCACTGCTTACCATGAGCTGTCCTCTTGAATACGTTAAATTTATGTGTCTTGCTTCAAAACTAGCTTTGGGTTGACTATGATTATTTTTCATCATTCCAGAGTGAAGATAATAGTTTTATTTTCTAGAGCTTACTCCTCTTCATTTATTATACAAAATGTAATTTTGCCCATTTTTTAAAGATTCTGTCATTTTTACAGTTCAGAATAGAACATAGAGAATTTTTACATCCTTAGTTCTCCAAATAAAAAACACTGGCTATCACAATTTTATAGTTAATGCAGAAAATCTAGGCACCGTGCAATCAAAAGAAATAACTAAGGAATGATATTGCCTAT